GAACATGTCAAACATATAGAAAATTTTGATGAAATTAAGGCCATTTTCAACTCCAACCATGATTTTGGGCAGAATCAATGATGGGTTTTGATTTACACATACTACAAATGATAGGAAAACAAAGATAACTAACATAGATCATTACTTCAAGAGTCCTTTAGGTTTGAACTTGATCATTGCATTGCAAGTTTTGTTGAGGACTTGTCATTGCTTGTGATTTAGATTGAGGAACTATAGAATTGCGAGCATATAAAACAAACTTACTTCTTGTGAGCAATTTTGAAGGCAATCAAAAAAAGAAAAAAGTGAACTAAAGTAATAAGAGAATTGAATTTGAAAAAAAAAAATTTTTTTGCTTGAATTAATGTACATGCAAGGATGATGAAAATTTTGTAGTACAATGTAAATTTGGTCTACATATTTTGGTGAAGTTCAATTTAGTCCTTTTCGGTGAAAAGAGCAAATGTCATGAAGTTTGAAAAAAAAAAAAGATTCTTATATATTTTTTTTAACAAAATGTGAAATGCTTTGGATTTAATTGGATAAGGCCAAAAAGTTTGAAACATGCAAGTGTGAATTTCATGTAAAAAATGTCAAATGGTGAGAATGTCTTTGAATGAGAGTTTGGACAATTTTTGTAGAAAATCATGACTTGAAGGACTTAATTGAAAAAAAGAAAATATGGGCACCAAATTTAACTTTATTCAAAAGAGAAAATGAGCATGAGATGAATGTCAATTTGATGTGAGATGGAAGATGTGATGTAAGGTTGAATATGGGTTGCAATGAAAAATGGAATGGGAAATGTAATGTGAACTAAACATAGATGAGATTTTCATTTTTTTATGCAATTTTTTTTTTTGTATGAAACATGAGAAATATGAGATGGAGATAGTAATGCTTAAAATAAAATGTGAGATGGAAAATGCAATGTGAAGTGAAAATGAATGAGATTTTTTTTATGCAGTTTTATATATATATGTGAGATGGAAGATGTAATGTAATGAATATGGGTGGAATTTCATTTTTCCTTTTTTTTTTTTTTTTTTTGGAAATTTTGTGAAATATGAGATGAAAAATGAAATGTAAAACGAATTGAATGGAGAATGTGAAATGAACATGAAAACATATTTGTGATGCATGAGATGGCAAATGGGACACAATAGACATATGACATGTGAAAAGTTGATGATAAATGGAAGATTTAATGTGAAATGAATGGAATGGGCGTATGACATGTAAAACAATTATGCAATTTTTTTTTTTTTTTGATGTATGGAATAGAAAGTGAAAGTGCCAAAGTGAATGGTTTCATGTAGTATTGAGTAGAAAGTGAAAATGCAAAGTGCATGGAATGAATGAATGTTATGCATGTTATGAAATTTGACACAATTGACTTAATGAACACCTGCAAGTGTAAACTAAGGTAAGATGTAAAATGCTCTCTTGTGTACCTAGACATGGGAATCCTAACCTCATTGGTGGCTTTCTAGGCTGACAAGTCCTATGGGTGGTTTCTCCTTAAGTTCACTGCATGGTTTCCTAAAGGGCATTAGGCATTCTCAACCATTTATCTTTTCAGAATCAATGGGAGATATTTCCAAAAGCTAATACACAGGACAATATTACATCATCAGTTGTCGTATTAACCAATGAAAACAACCTAACGGGAACCGATCTTACTCCTCAAAGCGGGAAGAATTGTTCTTCCAAGCCAGATTCATAAGGATTCCAAACTAGAGGTTGGGTCAACTCCGACACGGACCTAATGCAAAATGAGATTAAGTGTGTGTAAGGGACATGACACTCCGATAACCTGCACAATGGCAACCACAGAAAAAGGCAACATATATCCCACAGTGAGCAAATAAAGCAAACAAGCAAATAGAACATGTAAAGCATTCAACAAATATATCACCCACAAACAAAACCTACTTACACAGCAGGAAGGGACTCACCTCGTACTCCTATGCCAAATGCAAAAAGTTAGTACATCCACATACAAGCAAGTAGGCATGTAAGCATGATGCATGATGAATAAACATGTAACATCAGTGATGCATGTGCATGTGAGATGATATGATGCATAAGCATGTGAGCAAGATATGATGCATGCTAAGATGTAGCCAAATAACTATTCAAAAGCAAAATAGTAAAGCAACCATCGAAACAACAAGAAAGAAAGAACAAACAAGAAGCACATGCAATGAGTAACAAAGACCCACAAAGACTCAACAAACAAAAGAAAAATCAAAAGCTAAAAAATTCCCCCAAGTTAAAGTATTAGCTCGACCCTCATGAATCCAAAACATGAAAACCAGTGATTCTGGATTTTGTCCCCAGTGGAGTCGCCAATCTGTTGACGACCACTTAAGATTGTTTCAAAACAATGAAAAGTCATTAAGTGTGAAAAATATAAAAGAAAAGGGGAGTCGCCACTCGTCCAAATTATAAGGTGTGACAAGTCACCTAAAACGGGTCTGCACAGAGATCGAGGTTCGAGGGTTCGGTTAGGAGTGAGAAAGGACATACGCGCACCTCATAATCTTCCGTTTAAACATGGTTGCATACTTTAACATTGGGGGTTTTGATTCAACTTATTTATTACATTTATATTTAAGTCTTAATAATGAAACTTTAAAAAGGATAAACCAAATTGAAACATTTTTTAATTTTCGGACTAAATGGACAAAATAAAAGACATGTATACACAATAAGCACAAATAAAAATTAAATGGACTGATTTGAAAAGGTTTGAAACTTTTGAACTAAATTGCTAAATTGTAAAAAATTTTGGATGAAATTGAAATACGAAAGAGATAACCTCGACTTTTGAGGAAGATTAAAAAAAATGTTGAAATTAATTACTTATGACAATCAATTTAATTGAAAGATTAATTCGACATTAATTAAAATTAATT